CCAGCATCCCGTCTCACACAGTGGCCACCCAGTTCCTCTGGAGGGCCAACATTGGGGCACAGAGGCCTTCTCCTGATAAGAACCTAAGAAGAGCCCTGCTGGGTGAGAGCAGTGGTCCATCCGGTCCAGCATCCTGTCTCACAAAGTGGCCTCAACCAGTTCCTCTGGAAGGCCAACAACAGGGCACAGAGGCTGAGGCCTTCCCCTGATGTTGCCTCCTGGCTCTGGGATTCAGAGGTTGACTGCCTCTGAATATGGAGGTTCCTTTTAGTCATCAAACAGCTGCTGATAGACCTATCCTGCTGACCCCATAAGAAGAGCCCTGCTGGGTCAGCCCAGAGGTCCATCTGGTCCAGCATCCCGTCTCACACAGGAGCCAACCAGTTCCTCTGGAGGGCCCACAGCAGGCCATAGAAGCCGAGGCCTTCTCCCGATGTTGCCTCCTGGCTCTGAGATTCAGAGGCTCGGTGCCTCTGAATGTGGAGGTTCCTCTCAGTCACCAGGGCTAGTAGGCCATTGACAGACTTGTGAATCTAATTCCCTCTTAATGCCGTTTATTCCTGTGGCCATCACAACATCTGCTGGCAGCGAATCCCACATTTTAACCGCCCTCCCTCCACCAGCGTCAGGGCCCGAACACAAGCACGTTCTTACTTCCTACGTTACAGGCATAACCTGCCAGCGTGACCAGGATGAGAACCAGGGGGTCGGCAGCACTGGGGGGGGAACGGCCAGAGCTCCCACTGTTACGGAACTCTGACCCACAGCGACGTGGCAGTCAGCCGCAGATGTGATGCACTGCGGATCGTGGCCTTGTTGAGCCTGTGGGTGCTACTGAAGTTTGGGAAGCGGCAGTGGGCATCGCCACAAACTAACCATTGGCGGAGGAGTCTCAGAGCGGCTCAGTCTCCTTTCCCTTCCCCTCCCCACAACAGACACCCTGGGAGGTCGGTGGGGCCGAGAGAGGGCTTTCGAGGACTGCTCCTGAGAGAACAGCTGCGAGAGGAGACTTCCTGCGGCGGTGAATTCCACATGCTAATGACTCTTTGGGCGAAGAAGTACTTCCTTTCCTCTGTGCTAAGCCTACTGCTCATTCATGTCGCTGAGAGCCCACGAGTTCTTGTATCGTGAGAAAGAGAGAGAGAGAGAGCCTGCGGATGGGAAACACGCCATTTGTTGTGCTGCTGGCAAGGAATCAATGGAGCCCGCTGCCAAGTGCGCTGCTCGGAGGGGGAAAGGGGGGGGCAGGGAGGGAAAGTCTGGGAGTTCAAAGCTTCACACCCTGGACGATGCTGGACGGCTGCCACTGAGCCTCCGCAGCCAACGGGTTAGGTAAGCGGATTCTGGAATGGTTTCTTGGGCAGAGGGGGAAAAAATAAGGACATAACAAGAGCCCTGCTGGAACAGACCAGTGAGGGTCCACCTAGTCCAGCCTCCTGTCTCACACAGGGGCCAGCCAGCTCCTCTGGAGGGCCAACCACAGGGCACAGAGGCTGAGGCCCTCCCCTGATAAGAACATCAGAAGAGCCCTGCTGGGTCAGACCAGTGGTCCACCTAGTCCAGCCTCCTGTCTCACACAGGGGCCAACCCGTTCCTCTGGAGAGCTGACAATGGGGCATAGAGGCTGAGGCCTTCCCCTGATGTTGCCTCCTGGCTCTGGGATTCAAAGGAGTAGTGTCTCTGAACATGGAGGTTCCCCGCAGTCACCATGGCGAGTAGCCATTGATAGACTTATCCTCCATGAATCTATCTAATCCCCTTTTAAAGCTGTTTTCCCCCCCCCGGTGACCATCACTACACCCTCCTCTGGGAGCGAATTTCACATTTTAATCACTCTCTCCTCTGGAGGGCCAGCAACAGGGCACAGAGGCCGAGGCCTTCCCCTGATAAGAACATCAGAAGAGCCCTGCTGGGTCAGACCAATAATCCATCTAATCCAGCATCCCGTCTCACACAGTGGCCTCAAGCAGTTCCTCTGGAAGGCCAACAACAGGGCACTTAACCCACTACACCAAACTGGCATAAACCTTAACCTCCAAACCCCCAAAGCCTTCACTGCACTATTGTTTTAGCTCTCGTTCAGGGGTCTTCTTCATTGTCAGGATGAGCAGAAAGATAGCATTAAAAATGTAAAACTTTCAAAGGAGAGCCAGTTTGGCGTCGTGGTCAGGACGCGGACTCTAATCTGGGAGAACTCTAATCTGGGAGCGGACTCTAATCTGGGTTTGATTCCCCACTCCTCCACCTGCAACCGCTGGCGTGGCCTTGGGCCAGTCACAAGGTCTCTCAGAGCTGGTCTCTCACGGGCAATTCTCTCTCAGCCCCACCTACCTCCCAGGCAGTGCTCCCTCTAAGCTGAGTTAGTGTGAGCTAGCCCACAGTTTTTTTTAGCCTCCGGCTCACCCATTTTTGTCTGAGCTCAGGAAGGATGGGCTCCAGAGCAAACTGATTGATGCAGCAGCCAAATCGCTCGCTCAGAACTTTAATGTTCTGGGCGGGAGCAGCCAGAAAGGCAGACCAGCAAGCCTCCGGCATGCTACGCCATCATGCTCTGGCCCTAGCCTCCTTCCCCGGGCACCCAGAGGGACGGTGCACCGGTTCTCGGAGAAGGGCCGTCGCCATGCCAACGGTCTCCCGGCATGTCCCGCCTCCCGTCTCTCGGCTTCGCTGGGAAACGCTGCAGTGCTCTGTGCTGAGACTGCAAAGAGGGCCCCGGACCGCCTCCCCCCCCCCGTAACGATGCTGGCGAGGAAATCTGCAGCTGTCAGCAACTCCTGCTTCCCTGTGCACATTCAGGGCCTCCACGAGCCAATCATCCGGCACAGTTGGGGGGGGGGGGCGGC